TGCATCAGGTTGTGTTGTTTGAGAGTATTCAGATAGCTAAATGTTTTCTTGCATATTAGGCATTTGAATTTGGAATTTGTAAAATGCATTCTTTTATGCATTATAAATTCTTGGCGTTCTTCAAATGTTTGGTTGCAAACCATACATTGAAGAGGTGATTGAAGTTTTGGGTCGTAAGCTCCTCGATAAATCATGGTAAAATGTGGTATGGTTATCTTATTTTTTGTTTGGGCTACGTCGATCAAGACTGTCATTTTCTATGAGGTATTCTTTGACCTACTTCCCTTATCAAATCTCTTATCAAATTTGGCAACCTACCCATTTTGTAGTTTTGAACAGCTTGTGGACTATCCACGTTGACGTGAACAGTTTCTATGGTCCTGTAGTCATCCTGGACAACCGGCTCTTGTGACACGTCCAGGATTTGAATGTCTTCTATTTGGAGATTGATGTCTACAATGTGTTCTTCAAGTTTCTCTTGGAGTAGTTGCGCTAATGGCTCACATTTCTTTATTGGCTTCGTATTTGTCTTGCTGTTCATGTTGATTTTTTGTTTTTAAAAACTCTCATGAAAACGCTATATGAATTTATTTGGTATTCTATTGACGTAATATTTTATACGAGGTTCACTCTTTTGTTTTATAAACAAGGCTCTAGCATCTACTTCAATCTAGTCATTTCAAACATTGTACGAATATATTTTTGTTTGATCAATTCGATCTGATCTCCTGCTTTAAGATGGTAATAAACTTCCAATAAAAAAGAGTACGAAATAGCATTTAAGTTAAAAATAAATAAATCATATAACAATTTTGAATAATGTTTATTAGTAATATCGTAACACTTGTGATGCACACATCAATTAATTTCCAACCATTATCAATATTTCTATAATGATAAATTATAAATTATATATTTATAATAGCATTAAAAATATTTATAATAGTTGAAAACAATAATGTAATTAAAGTCATACTTCAGATACGACATGATCGGTTTGTCATTGTAATTAGCATTTAGGACTTCAACCTTCATTAGAAAAAAGCAGTAATCGCTGTATAATAAATTCTATAATATTCGTTCACATAGTGGATTATGTTAAACAACGCCTAAAGAAATATTGTTTTCATAATTTCACTCATGTAATTATGTTTGAAGTACTTCATGTAATCACAATTAATAAACATTTATTGACTGCTTGTATTTTTTCTAGTTTTTTGCAGGCGATACAATTTCATTCTTTGAACAGCTGTAATATCAGTCTTGTCTATAGAAATATGTTTTATTTTAATAACTTCAAAGATTTATAGAAACTACAAATAATATAGAAATTATTTCAATAAACTTAGGTTCTTACACGGCACAAATATTTCATTTGTTTTATTACTTTCATTATATTTATTTACGGGGGACAGAGCAAAATATTCTTCTGATTCAGGCTTTTTTAGAAAAATCAAGATTTGTACTATCTAATGCAATCTAATGACATTCCGATGTCCTCGTTGATGTACGCCGGTACACATACAACGAAAGATCTCTATTCACACGACACGACGACTAATCACAATCGACCCATATAGAAAATTTTCATCAAACTTCCGTTGCATTCTCACAAATTTACTCCCTAGTCGCGCCTAAAGAACTTTTACTTCAAAAACATTATTGTATTTTGGATTTTTAGACAATTTGTTACATTTCGACCTTATAGCAAATATATAGTGCTGCAAGGAGCATTTATAATTACAATCACATATAATATGTGCAAATTTGCATAAACTCAAATGTAGTTGCATAGTTCTTGAATGTTTCGGAATGAGAATGTCTCAGACAGCCGAACTACACAACTTTGCCAGAATTGCTCGACGACGCATCCAATAATTGCTACGAAACTTGGTATTTGCATTTCTTTGGGGGTAATAATATAAACATGAACTATTTTTTAAAAATACAGATATCAAGTACATACTGAGTTACGTTCAGTTTTAGGCAATATTTTACTTGTTGCTACTTTTGAATAGCCTCTCAGTCAACTTCTCTATCCGAACTAAACATACCAATGGACCCTGACTATTTACTCTTCGAATGGTTATAGAAACATTTTACATAAAGGATTTTATTAGACCATTCAGCAAAGTTCGAACATACACATAAACTCGTTTTACTCCTTTATTCACTACTTTTAGTGCACTCGGTGGTGTTTATACAATAAACACAATAAGAGATGAAATAAAAGTTAAAACCAATTGCCAAGAAATAACAACCCATAAATAAAATATAACAATGTACACAATTTTATACTTCGACAAATAGTTTTATATACGGTTTAAAATGTCCTGCAGATATATTTATAGCTTTGATTATTTCACAGTGTTCAGGAAATTTATTTAAGGTTCTGATGGCTGTTCAAATAAATAAATTGATAAATTGAATGTCTATAGTAAATGATCTAAGATTGTTCTGTAATTCTCAATATAAGTCGTTGTATATATATATTTACCACATTCATTTATGTTCAGTAACTGAATCTGCATTGTAATATTTCTGCTACTTGTTCGTTATAATTTAGCATAATAATTTATTTTCTCGAATCAAACCAGAATATCATATCTCATAAAGTGCTTTGCAAAAAAGATACAAATGGAATTTTAAATCGTACATGATAAAGCTTCTAGGCCTCCGCAATATACATATATGTATTTTCTGACATTTCATACGCCGTTTCAGCGTCCTATTTCAAAGACCATAAACTGAAAGATTCGAAATTTTATACGAGTTTATTTTCCATACGATTAAAGGTTTCTGCAAATAAAACAGAAATTTCAAACCGTAATATAGACGGATTATATTTTATTGAGCACCTCAAATGGACCATTAACAAGTTCGTGTAGTAAATGTTTGAAGTTTTTAGAGCTTTTATGTCGAATTGCGCTGTTATCATTCATGTTTTAAAATTTATCGAGCGATTTAAATATTTATTCTGCACTTTGCAGTAATGATAATAATTTTGTAAGTTTTTAAAATGTTATAAGCGGAATATGGCATCATGCTTCAATGCAAAATGCTGGAACTTCCTAAACCATAATTTAAAATTTTTAAAAGCTCACAAAAGAAAAAGTAGATTCTTCTGGGATTTTTAAATATCTTGCAACATTTTTGAAAATTTTGGAAACATTTAAATAATGAAAAATTATGAAAATTATTGTTTGAAAATTCATTTGAGTAACTTGAAGTTTTTGAAAATCCTGATATTTTTTCGAAAAATTTGAAATTGCTTGAAAATTGTGGATACCCATTCATGTCCTTTGATCCATACTGTTATTATCTGATTTTCGAACGCCAAATGTTTTTTTTTTAAGTTTTATTTCTGCATCTCTGAAACCGCTGGACCTGCCTTTGCAAAATATTATTCAATTTATGAAGTCAACACATGAAAAATGCCTTTTGAATAATTCAAATCACATACTCTGTTCTCTCAAAAACTTAATTGCCATTTTCTGCTCTTTTCGCTTCGTATCTCCGAAACGACTGGCCCTGTCTTTGTCAAAGACTAATTAGCACGTCTCTATATAAATAGGAATCGTGGACTAAAAATTTATTCCATATATACATACATACACACACCTACACACACTTTCATTATTTGCAAAATTTGCAGAAAACTTCGAAACGTAAAGATATAGAAATTTTTTTAATTCTGATTTTTTGCTGAATGAATTGCCTGTGGTATAAAATTATTAATAGTAAGGTTTGAATTTAATGAGGATTTTAAAATAACATATTTTACTGCTGTTCTTATATTACAATTTTATATTTTATTTACTAATGTTGTCTGCAATAATTCAGAAACTAGTTGAAATTGGTATTTTGTCTTGAGGCAAGTTACATGAACTTTCTGATTTATTTAAGAATTTATGAGTGATTCAAAGTATTCCGAGTGAATTTATTACACATAATTGAAAACGAACAAACGCGTTAACTCTAAATATTTTTTAAAAGCAAATTTTCAAAAATCAATAATTTTTATAATTGAACCAGTTTCCATAGGACTTTAATGGTTTAGTACGTTCATTAAGACCAAGTACTCTATCGTTATACCAAGTAAATCGTCTAATTTTAATTTTAACAAACATCAAAAAAACTACTCATTTTCTCAAATATTGATGAATTTTTAAAATTAAACTACTTGTCGTCAGGCCGTAATAATTCAGTAAGTTCTATAAGACCATGATATATATCGCCAAAAAAGTTTAAAAAAAAATCGGCTTAAATTTTTTTTTCAACAGTTAATTACAAGAAAACGGCTCGGTAGATTTCCGCCGAAAACTAATCAGTATCATTCCCAACTAATATCTTTCGAACAATTTTTGACTTTTTAAAATCGTAAATAAAAATAAATTTAAATAAAAGAAACGGCTCGGCAGATCGTCTTCCAAAACTGACAAACTATAGTCCTCATTCTGATACATCAAATGGCTTTTAAATTTCTGAAATCGGTCCAGCGTTTGAAGAAAACGTCGATTTACGGCAAAAAATCTGTTCACACACACACATACACATACTAAATTTAATATAATTTAACTTTTTTGGCTTGAAACGTTGAGAAAACATAAAATTAGCAAGTCGGATTTTTTTATGTAAACATCAACTTTTCTTTCCGGAAAGTTAATAAAGAACAAAACTAGAAAATATAATAACTGATGCCTAATATTCAATTAGCTAATCACTTACTAGTTAATTAATATACTTACTAGCAATGTTTATCAATCATTGAGTTAATAATCAATTAGTTGATAATTAGCTCAACTCATTTACTCAGTAATTATTATTACTCAATAAGTGCGCCACAATTTCAATGAATAAATAGTTCTAAATATGTCATGAATTTTATATCACCTGTACCTATACTAATATTTAATCTATATTTCTAATATTAAGAATTATTTGCCCTGACCAAATAATTCGATTTGTTTACAATATTCACGTAAATTTTCCATTTCCAGCCCGTGGGCATCTACCCAAAGAAATACGAGTGGGCGGCCGGCGATAACGCGGGCGCCCGAAGTGCCTCCGGCGGCGGCGGCGGCGATTGTTCGCTCTGGGTGCGAGCCGCCACACTGGAGTTTGATGACGGTCAGTGGGAATGTCAAGTCACCGCCAGCGATTTTACGACCCAAGACGCACTGACCAGCAGTCCTGTTAGATTGGTCGTTAGAGGTGAGCAGTTGATAACTATATAATAATTTGATAAATGGTTGTAAAGTTCGAAAGGATATGGGATAGTTGAGTTAATTTCCGATTTCGAAAATTAGGGACACTTGAGGTGGAACTGTTACTATTGCATTTTTCCTTAATCCTTTGTTAGGAGGCTGGTTGTCACATGTTGTAGGAACTTCACAAATAAACACATTTCGCACACTAATTTTTAAATTACCTTTAATTACATCAAAATTACACAAATATCCAGAAATGACTTTGCAGAAAACTAGCAAATAGCTTTTTTTACTATATTTATTTGATCATCTATCTACAAGATATATTGAATCAATTGTACGTGATATAGAGTAAAAGAGAAACTAAGGACTGCATCCATTGAAGTAGTTCTTCAGCGTTGACTAAAAGTTTTTCAAAAAGAATAGAGAAAAGAAAAATAAAATTAAAAAACATCATTAGATCCAAAACAAGTTATTAAAATTTTTTTGTGTTCTTATGAGGTCTATTTGTTCTAGCAGCTTTTTTGTAAAGATATTTGGCTGGGCAATGAACCTGTTTTGGTATTAAAAGTTTAAAATATGACTTACAAAACTACATTTTTCAAGATAAGATTATGAAATGTGCTGTATGCTTTCCAGCTCGGTTTAATGTTTTAATAACTTAGTTAAGCATAATTGCACAGATCTTTCTAGAAGGTTTATTCACATGTAAAAGAATACTGAATTATTCAAATCGCACTAATGTTTGGAAACTCCGCGAGGTACTGGAAACCAAATATGATTCGTTTTTCATGAGATATAAATTTTCTGACCACAGAAATTACGAGAACTTATTGATGTCTAACGTACTATTAAATTTTTTATTAAATAATATCAGTGGCGCACAACACCTTCCGTCAGAAAGAGCCCAATGTATTTTCTGTATTATTAATAATGCTATAAATAAATAATTTTTAATTGAATCATAAATCGTCTTAAGGACTTTATTATTCTTACTCTTAATATCATTGTAGAGATTTTACAAGCCCTACTATCCTCTATTCGTTTTCTATCTAACGTTACCTGATGTTTTATTTGCAAATGTGACTACATTGAAATTTAAAAAAGTCAAATAAAAATATTAAAATTACGTAAGAATAATGTGAATAACAAAATCCTCTTTTGTTTAAATAAAAAAGGTATCTGAAATCTTATATTTTATGGCATTTATTTCACAATTTCATAACTCTGGGTGAATTATTTTCCACAATAAATATCAATTTCTATGTATTTTATTCGCCATATTGAACTAAAATATTCTCAGAACTAAATAATATATTCGAATACAAAATTCCAATAAAGAACGATATGTTTATTATATCAATTTTAATTGACATATTGATTGTAATCAATATATGATGAAACATGATTTCTATAGGTTTTTAATAAATAAACTGACATATTCGTATTCGTATATACAGATATTTGAGACTTATCTAATCAAACAAATTTTATGTAAATATTCAAAATAATAATTAAAACTGTTGAATAACTATATGATTATCAGATAATGAACTAATATATGTAAAATGATGTTAAATTAAATAGGTTTATAGCCGCTCAAATAAACTATTCAATAAAGATAAAATTTTTCAATTGAATCAACTATCATATCATAAACGTCCAACGGAAATATATATTTTAAATTATCTCTAAAAGAGCAATGTATATGTATATTTTACTACGACTGATATTAATAAGACCATTAAAAGGCGTAATTAATTTTCACTGAATTCACAGTCGAATAGATTTACGGTTTCGAGTTTCTATTCATCAACACTTGATTTCAAATATAATATCTGGATCGTTTGATCGCAGCCGCAAATTAGACATTACAATAACCGAAAGACGCAATTAAATTGTATGAACATAAACAATGGCATATTAATCCCAAAGTTAGTATTTGCAGTTAATAAAACCGCGAAATCTATTATCTTCAGCTTGCAGTCGTAATGTTACTAATAAAATGCTTCATAAAAGCGGCGTTAGGAACTATTTTATGGCCGCAAGTGTTTATAATGACTCAGGCATGTAACGGGATAATTTTAAAGTAATTGAATTTTATATTGCCGGATTCACTTTGGCGATAAACGTTATAAATCTGGGATTAAAATAGTAAGATGTCTCATTGAAATTGAGATAATAATTTTCTTCAATAATTATATAATGCTGCAATTGATATTCTAAGTATCAGTAATACTCGGCTTACAGAGTTTTTGCAAAAATCCAGAAAAAAAGTAAATATTTGAATGTTGGAATGGCACTATTTTCTTTGTTTTTCGACATAATGAGGAACAAAAGCTGCGCGTAAGTTTCACATGCGATTGAAGTAAAACTTATTTGCTACTGTACAGGATGGCATTTAAGTAAAAATAAATACATCGTATAACAATTTTGAATAATGTTTATTAGTATTATGGTAACTCTCGTGATGCACACATTTATTAGTGTCGACCATTATACACATTTATATAATAATAAATTATAAATTATAAATTATATATTTATAATAGCATTAAAAATTTACATGGTTTTTATAATGTTTATTTCATGAAATTATCAAAGAAAACGTGACGAACAAACATAAAGACGAACATGTTGGTTGAGTGCTGAGACAACCCTGCATATGTATATTGGTAAATACTTTTAAATTGGTAAAAAAATATAAATTGTATTTTTAAGTCAAATTTATTTTTGTTTTCTTAGTTCAACAATTCCTATTTTGAATTTAAATTATTTAATCAACTGCAAAACTTGAACTCGTGGCTGCAAAAATTGAATGTTGAGGTATGTCACGTACTTCTTTTATTCGCCATGAATAAAATAATATTTAAAGAGTTGTTATAAAGATAAAAATGCATTTTATTCAGTACCCGTATCAAAATTCTGCTAAAGATTATCATATAAACATGTATTTCTTATAAGATTCTTGAATCATATTCACGTATGCCTAAACCTTAAATTCTATGTTATACGCCTTATAACTAACTATATAGTACGCCTAATACGCCTACGACTCTATATATATAATACCGCCAATATTATTTCTTACCTTACACCTATGTTTCTTAAACGCTAATTTTTCCGAACACTACCGAGAATCGAACCCGAGCCCTCTGCGTGGCACGCAACGACCTTAACCATTACACCACCGTGGCGCTGCGATTGGTCGCCTTTTTCCGCGTGTCGTCGCGTCGCATTAGTATTAATTACTTAATTAATAGGTAAAGGTACCGCGGAAAAACAGTGCGTCCCTTATTATATTATTTGTGGGGGACCCAATAGAGTAGTGGTCAAGGCGCTAGACTGCCACGCGGTGGTCCCGGGTTCAATTCCCGGTGTGGTCGATAGACAATAGAGTATAGGGTCGTGCCAATAGATAATAGATAAGAGTAAAAAATATATAATATAGGGTAGAGACAATAGATAAGAGTAAAATATAGCGTATAAATGGTAGTATATAAGGTTTGTAAGGGGTAAAAAGATATGTAGGGTGTATGTTATATGTATGTTATATGTATGAAGCGGTAATAGATTTATATATAAATGTAGGAACTGATGGTCTTAGGTATCGTACGGTATGATTAGACAGGTAATAATTAGATGTAAGTCCTTTAACGTATTATAATAATCTTGGGTACTTTTATATGAAAAAAGAGTGCGCGCAAAACTCGATATGAATTTTCGCGGGGTGAAGCAATGGAATTCCATGAACTATAAATAGAGGTAGAATATATAAGTTTTCTGTGTCATAGATAAAAAATATGAAAATTTGTGATATGTTTTGGCTTGCTTCGGGGAGTTTTAAAAATTGGTGATCCTATAAATTTGGATGTATTCTTCAATTTTACCACCTAGTATGTTTTGCGCCGCCATATTGTGGAAAAAGCGTCAAAAACAGATTTCTAACAGTGTCTTCTTTCAGGTTCATTTCATAATAAAAATAGTTTTGTACGAATTAAACTAAAAAAATCGTTATAATCTGTTAATTTATGCTAAAAATAAGATAATAATAAAATACGGTTTAAAATTAGAAAGATTTTAGAATACGTATTTATCTGATAAAAGTTCTACTAAAATAAAAATCTGTTAAATGACTTTCGCTAAAATACCGTTTACCCTATAGCAATATTCTCTTGATATTAAAAAATGTAATAATTTTTAATATTGTGTACGTTTTATTGCATAGTTCTTAATAACTATTTTTAAAAGCTTTTATTCACGGCGGAATAAGTTATTTTAATTGGATATTCAAGTATATAGTAATTCATTTTAGTTTGTTTTTCATCGTAAAAAGAGTTTTATATTTTCATTCCTTCGTGGTTTGAAATATGTTCGAATATATTTTTTACGAGCTGTGTTGGTCATATTTTTTGCGTTGTAGTTTCTTAACAATATGCAAAGAATATTTTCAAATATAATATTTTAATAAAACTTAAAAAAAAAACTCCAACTTGCATTGCTACTCTCCAGGATTTTAAATTTTTTTTGTGATTATATTTTATACATATCAATTTTGATGTACCAACTTGATAATTTTAATTGTTAAAAAAATCATTTTTATAAAATTATTTATATATGCTTATTATTTTCTTTGCAATCATTACATAATTTTATCATAAATATTGTTTTTTTTTACAAAATCGTTGGTATGAAAAATAAGTTACTGGATAAGTCGATCTAAACTGTGGTTGCTAAAAATTCGCAATAACAGATTGTAAAATATCACCATCAGTCCTTTTTCTAAGAACGTGTGCAGCCGTTATGGACCACCTAGAAGTCGTATCTTCTGCTGCCGTTTCCGACGCGGTAAACAATAATTTACTGCGACATTAAACAACGTGCAGGCGGCGCACTATGCTGCCGGTCGACTTGCTGCGCGATCATAAAAGCTTTTATACGTAAACCACATATTTTAGATTGCTGACGAATCAAGATATTCTATAAATGTATAAAGGTTAAAGG